TACAAGTGAGATAAACAGGGCCCCAAATTTCCTCCCTTTGGCCTGGGGTGACTAGAGAACAACTGTTCAGGGGCTTAATGGTGATCAGCTTCTTGGTGTTACAAGCGGGTTAGAATTTTTTTCTTTTCATGTGAAATAAATCACTAACCCTGATTGAGACCCCTGAAACTAACACCCCATCCCCTACCTCTAGCTGGATAATGGCATCACTGGGGGGCCCTCCCTCAGACTTCGCTGCTTACTGGAACACTTGATGACAAAATAAGAGTTTCCAAGGCACTAGAGATGATGTAACAGTAGAGTGATTGAGAAATGGGTCATAAACTCCATCCCTAGGTGATGGGGGTGGGGCTGTGGGGGAGAGGAGGGTGTGTCCAGGCAGGAGGAGGTGATGGGTAGAAGGATTTAAAGGAGGCAGAAATCTCTCTGCGACTGGTGTTATTTCTTTTAGCATACACATCAAAGAATACAATTTGTATTCATTTATTTACACCTGTTTCTAATGAGAATACATACACATTGAAAAACTCAGTGTATCTTATATGCATATGCAAGCACATACAGAGGGATTCGTTCCCCTTTTGCCTAGGGCCGTGGTTGGCAAACTCATTAGTCAACAGAGCCAAATATCAACAGTACAATTGAAATTTCTTTTGAGAGCCAAATTTTTTAAACTTAAACTATATAGGTAGGTACATTGTTATTAACTTAATTAGGGTACTCCTAAAGCTTAGGAAGAGCCACACTCAAAGGGCCAAAGAGCCGCATGTGGCTCGCAAGCCGCAGTTTGCCGACCATGGGCCTAGGGGATAACTAACACTTGAACAGTCATTTAAAGGATAAAAAATGGCCCTGGTCAGTGTGGCTCAGTGGTTAGAATTTCAAAATAAAGTTTAAAAAATGGAGCGTTATTTTATACTAAATGTTCACTGCTGATGTGATTATTGCAAATGATTGTCATTATCCTTATGTTTTACACTAGAGGCCTGGTGCATGAATTCGTGCACAGGTGGGGTCCCTTGACCTGGCCAAGTGGGGCCACAGGAGGTTGGCTGTGGGAAAGCACTGACCACCAGGGAGCAGGCAGCTCTTGCATTGAGTGTCTGTCCCCTGGTGGTCAGTGCACATCATAGCGACTGGTCCACCGGTCATCCGGTCGCTTAGGCTTTTATATATAGAGATAATAAAACTGAGGCACTTTGAAAGAAAAAGAACAAAAAATAAAACTGAGGCACTTTAGGTTCTTAAGAGAGCTTAAGTATGCTACACAAAGTAACAGATGCAGTAAGTGTTGGAGCCGAGATTCAAAATCATCTTGGACCACTATGCTGTGCTGCCATCCACTGATGACTCCCAGATCCACATCTTCAGCTCAGTCTCTCTCCTTGATGACAATCTTGAGTATCCAGCGACCTCTACACATCTTTATCTTATGGTCCCATAGACACCTGACACTCAACATATATACACCTAAATTTAGCCTTGGCAAATGTGTGCCTTCTCTGATGTCAGTAACTCTGTGAAAGATACCTTCATCTATCCAGCTGTTCCAGCCACCTCAGACTCTTCCACTATTCTCACCACCTCTAACACATCCATCCAATCAATAATCAGGTCTTTAAAATAAAACTTTACCCCTCTCTACCCTCTTCTACTTGAAATTCTACTCACCTTAGATGAGTTTTCCTGGCTAAGCTCTCTCTTAGGGCTCACAGAATGGCCCTGTGATAGAGAGACATCTTCTCAGATTGTAGCACTGCTTAAGTTATTAATATGGTCTCTGATATACTGACCTCCATAAAAACAAGAACCCTGAATTCCATGAGACTTGCATATTACCTGGTACACCGTTTTGAATAAATTGTATCAGAGTTGAAGACCAGATGTTAGGATGAGGCTAGATTAATTTTTTAATCTTCCAATGAAGGTTGTATCTGGATGAAAAGGCAAAAGGAAAGGATGTGAAACTTTTACTGAATGGAATGTGATGGTAACCCTTTATATCTCTCTCCACTGGACTAATATAGTATTCAGAATACACCCAATAGAAACAGAGTCTGAAAGAACATGTAGTTTCTAATACAGTTCCTTGGTCTTAATAGGAAACACATGGGAAGAATCAGCTCCACATTTTACCACTGCACATTACTGCTGTTGAGAATGTATCCTGGAAATGTGCAATAAAGGAGAAAGAACAACAATATGGAAGTAGTATAGTCCCCTTGTAATGTCATCAGAACAGTGACCTAAATCATTTTTATTTTTTATTCCATCCAGGACTTATTTTTTGAAATGTATTTTTTATTTATTTCAGAGATGAAGGGAGAGGGAGAGAGGGATAGAAACATCAATGATGAGAGAGAATCATTGATCAGCTTTCTCCTGTATGTGCCACATTGGGGCTAAGTCTCCTTGAGTTGATAGAGTGGCCTTGTGTAGTAGGTGTCCTATAGGGCCCAGTGGCTCAGCCTCCCCAGTCACCTGAGGTGGACACTCTTGATGCACCCCTTTATGGACTGTAAGTATAGTCTTGTTGCTGTTGGTGTCACTGGGAGGAATTGACCTCCTTAGGCCTTTTATTGATAGGTTTGGGGATCCCTAGTCCACCTGCAGCTCATTTGACAGGTTTTATTCTGAGAAAGGACAGGCCCATCATATGCAAAAGCTGCTGTGCACAGCTTGGGTGGGGTTGCAAATTGGGTGGGGCAGGGTCTCAGGGAATCACCAGGGCTGAGCAAACAGAAATGGCTGCCACTCAGCCCTGCAACCAAGTAGGGCCCAACACAGGAACAATGATAACTGCGACGCACTCTGTCTGGGAGAAAGCCACCCCCGAGTTCCTGCCTCAATGCCAGACAGTCCAGTTTCTCCTCATATGTTCCTTGGTCCCCTCAGAGCCTCGCCCAGCAAGGGAGCTCAGAGGAAGTGGGAGCTTGTAAGTTCGTAGTGCTGGCCTTTTAAGAGGAGCAGCTGGGTCTCCAGCAGCTTCTGTGTCACTGAGCCCCTATCCGCACTGATTTTTATAGCCCGTAGTTCTTACTGCCTGTAGGGACTTCTTTTCCCACCTCTGGGACCCTGGGCTGGGGGTCTGGTGTGGGGCTGGGGCCCCTTGCTCCTCCAGGCGGCCTCAACAGAAGCAATCTCCCTCCTGTGCCGGACCAGCCCGTTCTGCACCTCCATACCTCCTACCAGTCTCAGTGTGCTTTCCTTCCTTACTTCTCTAATTGTAGGGCTTCCATTCAGCCAGCTTTCTGGTGGTGCTGGATGATGGTTGTTCTGTATTTTAGTTGTAATTTTGATGCGGTTGTGGGAGGTAGTGAGTACAGGCATTTGCCTATGCTGCCATTTTGGTTCTACCAAGGCCTATGAGTTGTTTATAAATATTAGATATTAACCCTGGATCAAATATATGATTGGCAAATATTTGCCCTATTTCAGAGGTTACCTTTTCATTTTGTTGATGGTTTCCTTTGCTGTGAGTTAAACAGCAACACTCTACTCATGACTTTTTGTTATACGAGAATTTGTCATCATTTGTTAAACCAGTTTAGTCAAGATCTTCTGTTTTGGTAAAGAAAAGTGGCTTATCTGAGAATTCTCCCTGTGCCAGGGGTTTGTTTTATGTTCATTCTGAGTTACCAAGAAGGCAAGAAGCAGCTACCTACTGGCTTATGGGGCCTTTCTGGAGACAATAAAGAGGCCTCACACATCCCATTGGTACCCTCAGAAGGTTCACAAACCCATGGAGGCAATAGTGCCAGTTCCCTCAATAGCAAGCAAATTGAGGCATGCCATCATAGCACCAGTGATTGAAGACGAACCTGTGAGAGTGGCCTTTATTCATTGAGAGTCTATCATTTTCATTCCTGTGAGCACAGCACACCTATGAATAATAGGATATGTAAATTTAAAAAAAGAAAGAAAATTCTAGAAATAGCACCAACGCTGCCCCTTCACCCAATGCCATCATGACAAGCCAAAGACAGACTAGAACCCCAATGATCTGGCATCCCTTCCCTCCACAGTGATTGTAGCTTACCCAGGCACAGTGTGAATGCCTCCTTATAGGACAGTGTTAGGCTGTGTGTGTCTTTCACCCAAGGGAAAACAGGAGGACTAGAATTAGTATCTTAGGACTCACCCAGCTATGACACCCAGCTGGTGGGTCACCACCTACAACAGTTCTGGGCTATAATCAGGGCTCATCTCCCACAGTTAATCCGTTAGAAAATAACTATATTTTCTCTGGTCAAGGAGGAGTGGAGGAGGGTGATATGGATCTACAACTGATGATATGTCCCAGGCAAATGAGGAGAAATTAAAATAGCTGTTAATGTAAAAAGCCAGGTCATATTAAGACAGATTATATAAAACAGAAATGGGATTTAGGGGGGAAAAATAACAGAAGCAAGTATAGGGCTGCTCTGAGAATTATAAGAGAGCATTTCCACTTCCCCTTATCAATATTTTAGGAGAAATTGGAATTACCATAAAAGGGGAAACTACCAAGGACCATATGGATACTAGGGTTACTTTATCTATCCTTAACCCTACCCAATTAAATCACTCTCTCCCTCAGAATAAAGCTTCTGTACAAATTGTAGGGGTATCTAACCAATCAAGGTCTGTTTTTAAGTCAGAACTTATTCCCTTCCAGCTAGGGAACATGTTACAGAGCAATACATATTCTTATAGTCAAATCTGCCCCAATTCACCTGATTGGGCGAGATTTTCTTGAAAGGTATCTAAAACTAAATAAATCAGGCACTGAAACAATTGAGAAAATAATGATTTTAAAGGAGCCTCAACAACAGGAAACTAATCTTGAGACTGAATGTTTGCTACAAAATGTTCCTATGAAATTCTGGGCTCTTTCCAGTATGGATATTGGCAAAATTAAGTTAGCTATTCCAGTTAAAATAACTATTGACAATACTTTACCTTTACTTAATGTTTGTCAATATCCTTTAAGACTTGATGCACTGGCCAGAATCAAACTCATTATTCAAAATTACTTAAAGAGAGGGCTTAACATCCCATGCACGAGCCCCTGTAATACTCTTATCCCTCTAGTAAAGAAACCCAATGGGAAAGAATGGAGATTTGTACAATATCTCAGAGCTATAAACAAAATAGTTATTCCTAGACATCCTGTGGTTCCAAATCCACATACTCTGTTACCTACCATTCCTATGTATTGCCAATAGTTTCTAGTAATAGATTTATGTAGTATTTTTTTCAACATTCCTATAGAAAAAGGCAGTCATTATCTTTTTGCCTTCACCTGGGAAGGTCACCAATTCACCTTGACCACAATTCCCCAGTGTTATATAGAGTCCCACATATTTCTCTCAAATACTAAAGGCTGATTTAAATGATGTTGAAATTCACAGATATTCTACTCTGATCTAATGTGTAGAGGATTTACTTTTATGTTCCAGGGCATTTTTAGACTCCCCAAAGGATACAGTTTATTTAAGGATTGTTTTTTTAGTTTCTCTTTCTGAGAGTTCATTATTGGTGTATAAAAATGCCATAGATTACTGGGTGTTAATTTTGTATCCTGCTACATTGCCAAATTCATTTATTAAATCTAGTAGTTTTTCGGTGGACTCTTTAGGGTTTTCTAAGTACAATATCATGTCATCTATGAATAATGACAGTTTTATGCTTTCTTTTCCAATTTGGATACCTTTTATTTCTTCTTGTCTGATCACTATGACTAGTACTTCCTCTTTTTAATGTATGGCCAGATCCGGTTTACTAATGTTTTGTGGAGGATTTTAGCATCTATGTTCATCAGTAATATTGGCCTGTAATTGCCTTTTCTTGTAGTGCCTTTATCTGGTTTTGGAATTAGGGTAATTCTGACCTCATAAAAAGAGATTAGAAGTGTCCCTTCCTCTTGGATTTTTTGGAATAGTTTGAGGTGTACAGGTGTTAGTTCTTCTATGAATATTTGGTAAAACTCCCCTGTGAAGCCATGTGGACCAGGGCTTTTGTTTCCTGGGAGTTTTTTGTTTACTGCTTCACTTTCATCAATTGTTATCAGCCTATTCAGTTTTTTTTTTTATCCTTCCTGATTCCGCTTTGGAAGATTGTAATTTTCTAGGAAATTTGTCCATTTCGTCCAAGTTGTCCAGCTTGGCATATAGTTGGTCAGTATTTTCTTACAATCCATTGTATTTCTGTGGTGTCAGTTGTTACTTCACCTCATTTGTTTCTTATTCTATTTATCTGGATTCTCTCTTTGTTTCTTGATGAGTCTGGCTAAAGGTTCATCAATCTTGTTATCTTTTAAAGAACCAGCTCTTGGTTTCATTGATCTTTTGTATTGTGGTGGTTGGTTTGTTTGTGTGTGTGTTTGTCTCTATGTCATTTATTTCTGCTCTAATCATTATTTCCTTCCTTCTTCTTACCCTGGGCTTTTATTGTTTCTCTCTTTCTAATTCTTTAAGTTTTAGGGTTAGATCATTTATTAGAAAATTTTCTTATTTCTTGAGGTAGCCTGTAGTGCTGTGACCTTCCCTGTCAGGCCTACTTTCACTGTGTCCCATAGATTTGGATTTTGTTATGAGTTCCTTTTCATTTTTTCCAGGGAGTTTTTTGTTTATTCCTTGGACCTCATTGATAACCCATTCATTGTTTAATCAATAAGTCTTTTTTGGCTCCTATATAGGAAAGTATATTGATGGTGCCTCCCATGTTGGTCTGTGTAAGGACACCATATACCCAACCAATTACATGTTAGTAATGGTCAGATGAAATAAACAATGCAAATTATCTCACACCTACTAGTGTTGGCAGCAGGGAAAGCAGCACCAGGTGTTAGACTGGTGGGGTCAGGCTGGACCTGGGTTCAGCAACCGCACTACTTGAATTCTGGTTAGGAAAGAATTCAGAGCCAAGACTCAAACTATAATAGAACATTTAT